GGCTGTATAGAGAAGTTATAGCGTGTCGCCAAGATGCCCACGATCCGGTTTCTAATCCTGTTAGGGATGATGATTAAACTAGACATTTCAGTCCAACTCGTGTGAGAAAGCCTTTTGGGAGGATAGAATAAATTAGAATCCAGTAGAACCATTTGGCCTCGTCATATCACTACTTATCAGTCCATATATCACCCTAGGTTATTTAGGGTTACCTAGCAATTTACCATGAATTTCTGATATATAAGAAATATATTCACCCTAAATATGGGACTGATTTATTTATTTGTTTTAAGACAAACCTTTATAATGCCATCTCACGGGTGCTGATAGCAGAGGTGGTGAACAACCAGCTCGATTTTTCATTGGATTCATAATAAAGTGCGTTCCTTAAGGCCGTTTAATAAAAGGGTCTAAAAAATCATGTCATTTTATTTACAATTCATAAAAAAATGACCATTATTACTTGGTTTCGTATTAGAGTAGAGTTTCGAGACTACCAGTAAATCAGTAATATGAGATGTATTCACCCTATTTCGTCTAAGGTGATGAAGTACCGGAAGTAGAATTTTCCCACAATGATATGAGTCGAGCTGATGTGTCCATTGCATTTCACATAGCCTTGCTTTCCCAAAAGTTGTTCCCATCCAGGGTTGACTGCAGTTTCGACCTCGCATCAGTCTTATCAACACCATCAGCGGGAGTCGAACCGCGACAGGGCAGGATGGGAGCTTGACACACTAACCACTCGGCTAAACTGCCACAAGTACCCTTGAGTCATAGGGCATAAGTGAATTTCAAGGAAGGTCAGGCCTCTTTGTTATATCATATTCTTTGGTGGGATTGTCGATGAAGCAAACGTATATTTGCTATAACAATCGACTACATTACTTATTTTTCGTATTTAAGTAGAGTTTCAGAATAGGGTGAATACATCTCATATTACTGATTTACTGGTAGTCTGGAAACTCTACTTAACTATGCAAAACTATTGTTAGTCCTCATAAACAATATACTCTTAGTTTCGAAAACTACTCGATTGATACATAGAATAAGTAGGATGTTGTAAATGCGTTTCAGCATAAGTATTATGTGATAATAACTAGTTTACTATTCGCAATAGGCTTTCTATCTCCTTCTTCCTAATAACTAAGATCAGTAGACCAAATTAAATCAGTACACGTAACACACACACACATTCGCCAAAAGGACCGTAGTTCAGGTGACTATACCTCTGTTTTATGAAATAGCGACTGCCAACATATATACGTCTTAAACCTTAACAAGGTTAGGAAATAACTTTTTTTTCAGCACTTTTGTGTTGGCCTATAGCTACAACTTTCAAACCCCGCCCATAGGCGAGTCTGGTTCATCTCTCTTTCTCTCTACCACTCTACTCTCACAAACTTGATAATTTTCAACCTCAGCATTGCCTATCTATCTTAAGCCTCATCTCTTTTTTTGGTATCCCGATCCATAAGAATCCGCATGTGGCTGACGTCAAGTATATAACGTTAGATAACCTGGTAAGAACTATGCATATTACTCACACAAGTTGGTGAGTACTAAACTAAACTGTTATAACTAAACTGTTGTTCATTCTATGCAAGATTGGAGATTCTTTTAATTACTGATACTTGGAACCATTTTTAAGTATTCACCTCTTTATCCTCTCATTTAGAATCAAAAACAATAAGGTTGTTGGAGGGTGTGAAAAAGCTGGGTACCCTAAAGTCATGCAAAAATTAAATTAACACTTACTTAAATTGTTTGGATTATAGGATGACACATGCGACCACATCTTACAAAAGTGTTCTCAACTTCTTCCTATTGCTTCCGTATGAACGCCTGGGGTTTCTGTCTCTCCTTGCATATGGGTTGCATTTCGCTGATCTTGGTATAGTTCTTGATCAATTTATAGAGCGTTTAATCGTAATGGTATCAATTCTTTTAACGGTACCACACTTCAGAAAATCGGGCCAGTGCAAATACGAGAGCATAAGTCACATTAGATGAAGCTAGTTCGCTCTGTGAACTTGTTTCACAAACTCTTTGTTCCAGCTTCACCTAGAGCCTCTCCTTAATTAGGCAATACTGATTCTAAGCAAAAGTTGTAGGTACTTTGTTTTCTCAGGGTCTCTTGATTGGTCTGTCTACTAGGGAGGAAGAGATCTTGACTTGTCGATGAATGTTACCAGCCATCCTGTGGTCTCAGACTCTTTTCACTGCAGGATTCTTACTCTGGACTAGCATATTCAGTGACAGACAAGAATGACAACGCTGTCCTTACCATTGAATTGAGGATCTGCTTTGGGGTGAAATCTGAGCCTGCCAACCACATTCACTGGTCCCTAGTTAAGGAGAGGAGTCAAAGAGAATGGTGAAAAGTTTATTCGAGTGCAGTTGTTTAGACTCCGAAATGAGCATACAGCCATACAATAAGACTAAAGAAGGAGGAACATTTTGGAGTCAGCAATGAAAATATCTCTGCACATACAGTCTTCTAGGCAAACTTCCATGAAGCAGAGGTATGCAACAAAAGTTGTCACCCATACCTCAAAATAGACGAGGCTTTGAGTCTAGCAACCCTTCAGTGTGTAGACTAACCCGTCTTTCATCGGACAGCTTCGCTTACGAGGTCGTGTTTCTTTTCATAATATCCAGGTCTTGTCTGTGGTTGATGGAGGAAGGGGAGGAGCAGAGTGAAATTTAATTGAAATAGTTCATCAAGAAGCATGCGGATATAATTTCCGAAAAGTTTATTATATAAATTCTCTTAGGCCCGCAGGCTCATTTTGCAACCAGTTATTTGACAAAAGTAGATTAATAGGTTATCATCAGGCTTGACTACATAAAGCCCTATGAAATAACCAAAGTTTCCGTCTTAAAGAAGATACGAAACGAAATAAACTCGTCTATATGAGACTGCGTCGCGATGATATATTGCCTGGCTCAACCTTTTTGACAGGAGTGACCGAAGATTTAACGTGCGAGTTATCCAGACATTTGCAGCTCACTGTCAGAAGAACAAACCTTTCTGCCGTTAATTTTCTCATAACGCTACTTAAGCTAAACGGAAAAAGTCGATAAAGTAAAAATAAGAGTTAAATGAAGTTAAATAAATCCTTACAAGTTAGCTGACAAAAGTGGACACAAGTGAACACTGCATCTCTCGCCTGTTCGTTTCCTCTTCTGACTCACCAAAATCCTGAAGGGCCAGATGACCGAGTCCGTCCAGCGTAAAACCTTTAGAAAGAGCCGACTAGTCTCTAGTTCCTAAGCCTTTGCACTAGTCGAACCTTGCTAATCAACTTGCTGGACATTCACATAATCTAAAGTCACTATTTTTACCTTTTCGTACAATCTATTTTTGCAATTGAAACGATGCCGGCTTAACAATGTGTCACCACTATAGAAGTAAATTGAACTACATATGCTTTTCCTCGTGACCCAATGGTCATAATGACGTGTGTTTGTGACTACTTATCAGACCAACCGATCCAGGACCGATTCCCTTTTGGGAGAGTCTTAAACCCAGGTGAGGTCAAAATTGAGGCAATAGCCCACTTTGGTTATACAGACACGGTAAAATTAGACGCAAATTATCATATTAATGGTAGACCAATTATCTCTATACATTCACTCGGCCGGACATTCCTACCCTGGGGGCCAGAACGACACTTACGTGATGCCAGTTTGCTAATTCTCCTATTCACATTTCGCGGAATTGAATATTTTACCCGCATTTTAATGAGCATAAACCATTAGCTACCACATGTGGTTTATTTGAGGGGAGAAAA